TTACACTTAATATTTTCGCACGTGGTTGAACTTTAAAATTTGAAATTGTGATAGGTTTCACACCGTTGGTTCTGGAAATACGACAAATTAAAAAACCACAATCATCGGCGAAAAGTGCACTACAGTAGGTGGAAGGAGAAGCAGTAGATGAAGTTGACATCATACTAATCAACAATAAGAATTCATAAATTCTATTATACTTCGGCATTTTACTGGAAGAGGACGATTCGGTAGGCAAGAGTAGATGAATGTGATGCCCACACAACCAGCTATTCTGCATCGTTTCACGTCTCGCTCATTTTGGATGACATTCTTATTTATATAAACCAAAATCATGTATTCTGTGGACCCCGAAACTTCTTTTGGGTACTTGTAGTAGTACTTGTACCGCCATATAAAAAGATCTCTGGATCTACGCGTAGTTCGGCCGATTGAGGGTTTGATCTTTTTCGCTAATGACCACGAATGATGATCGCCTAGAAATGTTCCTGAAGCCTTTGTTAGCCATGCCAGAGCGACCACCTCCAGCTCTGCTTACGTGGATCGGGGAATGCTCATCATTGACAAATTTCGTACCAAATTTCCGAGCTGCACCCAACATCACATTAATTCCAACTAGTAAGAATATCTTGCCGCACTAATGATTTTCGAAATTCCGAAATTTCATTAGAAGTTCCAGCTAAAAGCAAGCTTTTCTATGCAACAGAGAGACAGGGACAAATAGGGACTTGTTCGTACTCGAGTGCTTGGACGATCAACGGTAAAATAAGTGTAAAGGTGACGAAATTGGGGAAGAAAAACATAAAAGTTGTACTCTTCTCTTATGTTTTTCTCTGTCTTCCATGATTATTAGAACCATAAATGCTACCCAAATAGGTCTATGGTCAGAGGCAAGGGTTCATGTCTGCTGTTGTATTCTCATCTTTAACAAGGATAATCTAGCACGATTAGGTATCCTAAAAGCTCGTGTCCTTGAGCAGCATTTGAACAAAAGATTTGCTGGAGAGTCTTGACCAGGGAACGCCCTGGCATCTAACTCGTCATTCCTAAAAAGATTTCAACGTTGATCAATCTTTAAAGGATGCGTCATTCACTCTACTTTATTTGACATGGTTAGAGGTGATTCAAATACATATCTGGCTTGTACAGCGACTTGCTGTGGCCTACCAGGATATCGAGTCAGTGCTGCTATCGTCCCAGACAAGTGTTGTAACACTTTCCCGACCACAGAGTGGTGGTTGGCTTGGCGTGTCTAGAGTGTAGTATTGAACCATGGACCACGTGCATATTGGAGGGCACCTCTAAACGCTCTACACGCGCGCCTGCCCTTGGATCCTATGCTTCTTCGTCTTTTCACTCTAGAGAAAACAACCTTTTTAACGCATATCACTTAAATGAGAAATGCATGGGCTTCAATAGGATTCGCTGTGAAGCCCGAGCGTTTAGGTATTCAGTTATTATCACACAATACGCGATGTTGGCTTCTCAACACCCGACGATGATTTCGTAATCACTAGAGTAGTTGAGAAGTTGAGCACTTTATAGATCTATAGAGAAGGCTTTGCTCTACTGCTTACATATAATCCTCAGGAATTTTTCGATTTAAATCTTGCCTACAACTCAAATTTTTGAAGTATCATATCCAAGCACGGCACCCGCGAGCGTCAACGATACTTTGGGGAACACTTTCGTCCACTGCTGGTCGAAGTCCTACTTGTTAAATTGCCTTCGGGTTCGAGATAAATGTCAGCGAAAAAAGCGAAGAAGTTCGTTTTATAGGCTATTATTGCCAATTTTGTTGATTTCTAGAAAGGATTTCCCAAATATGGGGCTTCGTTGCCTTGGTTGTTCGTTTGACGGAAAGATTCTCCTCAGTTGTGGGTTGAGTGTACGTTATTCTGTCACTCGACGCCGCAGATGTTTTTCCCAGGTCTTCCCTTCCTTTTCGGACCCCTTTCATCAATATCTGTTGAGGTATAGCGAACCACTTTCACTGAGATCGAAGGTCCCACGCGCAGTGGAATTACTGGACTATTGAAGTGCTTTGAGGTAAAAGCCATGGTAAAATCTCTTTTTTATCCTTATTTATCCTCATGATCTTTTCTTTTGTTTTTTTCCCATTCTTTTATCAGAACGTAGTGAAATATTTGACTGGAATAAAATGGAAACAAACTGCTGTTTGGTAGAAGTGTTTTTTTAGTAAGTCTTTTTGTTAAAATATTCCACGATTGTGTTCATTTTCCAAGATTTAAAATTGGATGAAGTTGAGCATTTCTATAATTTTTATTATGAATTTGCTCTATTTTCCGAAACTTAGGAGCATTTTAAAGAGTTGGGATGAGAATGGGATCGTAGCATTCTGTCCGTTCAGACTTAAATCTCGGCAATTTTAACAAAAAGTGTCAGAATCTAAATCTCTTCAACATGCTCAAAATATCCCTTATAGAAATTTACTATTTCTGTTGTTATTTCCATGGATTTCGGGAGTAGGCCACGCTAGCGGAAGGCTGCTTTTGCTTCATTATTTACTATGAACTATGGGTGTAATCATGGGCAACCCTCCTGATTTTTCATGAGTAGAAGCGAAACTTCGTTCCTCACTATGGATACGTGCCATCTCCTATATTCCTCCTACTGGGTTGGCTGAAGGTTTCCAACTGTGAAAGATACAAAGCCCGCCTACATTTCAGCTCATTTTCACCCGTAAAATAAATATAAAGCGTTTGGTAACGATCTATTTCCTAGGGTTGTAGCGTGCATTTGAGTTCATTAAGCATCGTGAATTTTTCATATTACTCCCAATGCATTTATTGCCCCTGTAAAGACTTTCTAGGTCTCATTGATGCATCAAGTCAGTGTTGACCTCCTCAGACACAAGTCGAGTACCAGTTTACAGAGCCCGAAATGATAGAGGACCTTGGTTTGCCCGAGGGTGGACTAAAACAAATGACTATGTGTGTTCCAGCGTACCTCTGATGATTGCGCTACATAGGTCCGTTGAAATATATAAGTATTTCTAATAAAATTGTTATCAAATGTGCAATTAAGAGCTCTATATCTCGATGAACTCGTTCTGTAATGCGAAGCTTATACTGAGATTTATTTGCAAGAAACTTAGCTATGAAGTTTATTTCCCATCTAGAGCCCAGCCTAGCAGTTACTGAAACATAGAAATGCCGTTTATAGTGTTGCTGTCATCATTTCCAAATTGTCAGAAACACGCCATTGCGCCATGACAATAGTGTAGATTGTGATACAGGAAACTTATATTTCGATGTTAACATCTTGTAGGTGCCTCTGTCGCGTTGACAAATCTGACAGTCTTTCCTTGGGACTTTTTAAGAGCCGGTTCTTTAAGGTGCAAATAGTACCATATAAAAGTTATAACGCCACTAAAAATACAGAACAATCTTTTCTAAAGGTAAGTGTGCGAAGTTATTGAAATTATCGGCTGTTGATAAAACATCCACACGCCCGCTAGCTATAGTTTTCGATTTTCTTGCTGGGCAAACACGAGGTGTTACTTTATTCTTTATTTCTTTAAAGCTAACGTTTCTGCAGTATCGCTCTATTCAGAGCCTGAAAGGGTATATTGATATCAAAGTATGAGGGATATCAATGTATGAGGAATCATTCCTTTTCCTTCCAGGCCTCGAATGAAGCGATACTTCCGAAACGTTAGCTTTAACGGAATAAAGAATAAAGTAACACCTCGTGTTTGCCCAACAAGAACATCGCGAACTATTTGATCAAGGCCGAGGTTAATAGAGAGTTGGTCTTGGGGATTGCTGCTAGCTATGTTGTAGAGGTGACACCTCAGAATTTAGGCCGCAGAAGACTTCTAGAAATTTCCTTAACTGCACACCGGATTTCGCATCTTCTGTTACAACCTATTCTATAATTTTTTTTCATAATTACAGCCTTTCCATAGTGTACGGCAAACAATAAACTCCTGCAAAATTGTCAAAACCTTTATGTGAGTGCTTGAACAGAACAACTACACCATGTGTTTTCCTCTTTTTGCTGAGCTGTTTTTCATTTAGCTCGTCTTAATACAGCCCTCGATTGATTTACCACACCATAGCAAACAGGTGTTCACACTCTCTAACTACAATTCGCATGCACAGATTCATTGCTAGGATTCCGATAGGAAGTCCTCCTAATAGAAAATCTATGCAAGTAATCGTTGTGCTTCTTGAAAAAGCCTAGTCACAAGCTGGAATACCTTCCACCAACCACAAGGACCGGCTGTTGCTTGTAGTGACAACCTGAGGTAGCACTGGCAGGCCTTTCTCCACCGACCAATGAAAGAACTTTTTCATGCGGCAACTTTTCTTGTGCAACATTAACTTGGATTATTTTAGCATATAACTTGTAAAATGTTTTCACTAGCAAATTACACCATCAGCAGCAAGAATAAGCCTCTTTGTTTCTTCTTCTCGCTTATTTCTCTCGACTCCTCATTACGGTAATAAAGCCTTGGTCTTATGTGAGCTCGACGGCTGTCTTCTTTCAAACCCAACCAGCCTATTCTACTATTCCAGCTCATTTTCCAAAATGTTCTTTCAGGAATGGATGTAGTATTGTGTAGAACACAATACAGAAGAACACGAATGCTTCCACTTTTGCGCCAGTGATCCCATCCAGCTTATCCTTCTAGAGTCGGTAAACTGGTAGTAAGCCTGTAGACAAAATGCTAGACACGATCTACGAACTGCTTAACTTAATAGATGCACTTCTTCGATAGATAGATCGCCATTGTGAAAACTCCCTTCTAAAATTTTCTCCTTTTATGTGTTCCTTGAAGCGAAGCGTAATATAGGACTACGTCTTCATTGTTACGTGAACAAAATTCAAATCACTCGTCTCACCGCTTTTGCTAACGGGTCTTCATAAAATTTCGTCGATTCTTTAGATAAACTACGCAGTTTGGATCCAATATCTCGTCATAATCTCACTTTCCATCCAAATTCTGCAACGATTCGAGTAATTTCAGACGTATGTCCATCGAGAATGTCACCAACACGATCCTCGACGGTGGTGAAGTTGTCGCTTATCCACCGGAGCCGATCTTTTCCGATTATTTGGAGATGACAACACTTGTTCTGATGTTCATCATTGGCGCACCACTTAATCTAGCCGCCTACACTCAGGTAGTAGCGAATTATGGTATATAAGATCGAAACACTCTGATCCATATTGTAAAATCAAAGAAGAAAACAAACTTCATGAATTTCGTCCATGGCAAACTGCCCATTTATATACAAAACTCTGGACCGCAGGTGGTGGGAACGACCAACGATGGACGTAAGGCGAAACGAAGGACCCGCATGGTGTGGTGGTGAACGTGTTCCCCACCGGAAAGCACAATAGCGCGTTCGTTCCCCACCGCAGTCACCTGCGCTCCGGAGTTTTTCAAATATCCCAGCAATCTTGTGGTTGTATTTCGCTTAATACCCTGCCATAAAAATTATAGAAGGCAGAAAATAAGAAGTAAAACTATGCTAAATCTTTGAACACCATCGCTCAAAAAATTTAAATATTCTAAATGAGCCCATTAAAATCCATAATGAGATGGTGAATAGCAAAAGAGACAGAGTATAGTGCAGCTCGTACTAACCAATTCCTTAGGGAGATGCGCCAGTGCGTTCGACTCCACTAAGCATCATAAAGGAGACTGAATGCATATTTTGTCTGTCGAATTCCTTGCGGAAACCTATCGACCCATCATACAAATATTATTTTCCTCCCAGACAAATCTGGTACCGATTTTCCGATCTCAGATGGGTAAAGGACTTCGTGAACCCGAGGAGCAGGATGGAATCAGCGACCGATGCAGTATGTATTACGGCATAACCCTAACCACTTACCTTGAGATGTTAAACATTTTCGAAATTTATAGAAAAAATAAAATACGCACTAAACTCGCGATAAACGGAACGATTCAGATTCATTCTAGAAGGAAATACATTCTAAACATTTTGCGATCACCGTATAGCACCACTGTCGTTCCCCTGAAACTCCCTGTTAATTAGCGAGAATCTTCATAAACTGCGGTGTGAAATCCCAACATTTCACCAATATTCTCTTCAGACGTTAACGTCATTCCTCCCTAAGTAGAACAACGATACACTCTATTTATGTTAAGGTTTTGTCTTAACCATAAAGATTTTCTTTCTCGGAGCTTTCCCACCGCCGATACGTTCGCATGATCGTCATCGACTCTCGCTGTCAGTCTGCTCATCCATCTCGCGTAAATTCACAGAAAATCCTTATTATTTGTCAATTCGTCGTAAACGTAGTCAATATGAGATTCCTGGATTGTGTTATTCTCGGGTATTTAGTTGGCCATTAAAGGGAACAGTTTAAAGTGTAACGACTACTGAGTGCAAAATAGAGGACTCGTGGGCGCAGTGGTTAAAGGAGCCTTGCAGTACACACGTGCCCGCTGGACCATTCATCCCGCGCAAACCAGGCCACAATTGCTTAGCCGATTGGTACTGGTCCATTTTGGAAAGAGACAAAAGCACTCTCTTTATATCTTGGCAGGCAGGCCCCACAAAGCGTCATATAGGCCAAATATGCACTCAATCATCTCTACAATACTTGATGAAGTAGAGTGCTTGGTGCGACCTCAAAGGATTGATCATGACCTAGCACTTTATCCCCTTACTTTTAGATTCAAGATGTAGCCCACTTGTTTTCACAAAAAAAGGAATAAACTGCAGTATAAATAATAGAAGCGTTAGAGATCCCATCCTTCGAACAACGTGTTTTTCAAACAGGATGGTTGGCATGGCTTCTATTCCTCGTCAGCATTTTTAGTCCGTGCCAGTAATTATACTTTTTTTGCCCGTTTCTTTTTCCTACTAGGGTTCTCTGAGTCTCTCCATTTGGAGATAAAATGAAATTTGTATAATAGGCGATTTCATCTACCGACTACAAAGTATTTATCGCTGCACTAACTACCCACTTTTGTATAGCCATTTGAGTTCTCTTCAGAAATATCTGTGTCGCATTCAAATGAAGGCTTACTTTAATTGGAATATTGCTACGCACTCTCCATGCTGAATAGTACGATGTCCCGACGAACGACAGCATTCATGCTCTCAATTACCAAACAAATTATACGGCAGTCGAGAAAAACTACAAGCGTCAGAATGTCTAATGAGAATATCGCATTCTATGGAGAAAACTTCTGGGAAACGGGCGTCGAGGACAGCAACGGTGTCTTAAGCGACACTATGATCATCTCCTATGGGACCACATCAGTAGCAGAATTTCATTACGTTGAACACATAAAGACATTTTTATATCAAAAAACGATTCGCATTCAAGCGCCATTTAGACTCACCCAGAGTCTCACCAGGACCATGTACATCGTCGAACGGAGCAGACTGCGAAAATCTCCGTAGATGTTTTAGCGTTATTTCCACACAAAACGCACTGCAATACACACATGGGATCGATCTCCGCACCTGTGGCTCACCAAGATTTCCATCCCTCCGGGGTCTGTAAATTGTTACCAAACTTGTCTGGAAGGATACAGCACTGGCTCGAGACATCGGTAGGATACTGCGAGTCATTGTAAAGTCCAGAAATGCATTCGATCACCTCCAACGATGCTTAGTGAAGTCGAATGGACTTTCTCATATCGACGAAAAAAAAGCTAATTTATACCAAACTAATAGCATAAGTATTTGATACGCAATAGCTCTCAAAAAAAGGTGACTAACGGAAGAAATCTGAAAATAGATACAACAGTGCAGCGCTATGGAAGCAGGTCAGATACAGAACACTTTTTTTCATTCATTTCGTTATCATGCGATCGTCATCTAAGAATTTAGTCGGGTTCATGGGTGAGGTCTGCAGTGAGTTAAAGAGCTCTGATATCCTTTTTTAATCTATGCAGAACACTGAGTGAGCACGACGTTCTCTGAAGTCCAGAGGCAGCCATACTATGGCGTTCCGGATCAATAGGCGGAGGTGTTTCATTTAAAAAAGGTTTGAAATCTTGCTACTAAGAGTCTACCAAGACGGCAATGGTTACTGCGATTATGCCATTGAGCAAACAAGGATTATACATCAGGTCAATTCCTAAGGTAGCATGATAAATGCAAAGTAGACCGGAAATCGACACAACAACGACAGGACGGTCAACTGTAGACCTGTAGACTGGGATCATCGGCTTTGAGGGGGACGAACACTTCGAAACGTTAGCGGAATAATGGTTGCATAACCATCTCGTGTTAGCTCATCAATTCAATGTTAGTATTTTCAATTGAATATTCGTGTTAGCATATCAATCCATGTTGACAAGTCATGCTGAAGGTAAAGAAAAGTCCGTCCTTAAGATAATAATATATTAACAAAAACCTAGCCTTCTCATTATGTTGAGAAGATGGAATGTTCAGCTGGCTGAGAGGCCGACGACGAGCAGACTGGATTTACTGAAACGGCATCTGAACTATTCGGACTTGCTGGTGATTTTCGTCTACGTGCCGTCGAGGGCGTGCTGGCTTCTCACCTACGATTGGAGAGGAGGAGATGTGCTGTGCCGAGTGGTGAAGATGATGCACACAGTGGCCTTTCAGGTGGGTTCGGTGAAGCAGAGTTAGATTGAGAAGAATTCACCATGATTCCTAGCATGAAAGATAGTTCAAATCTTACAATTGGAATATATCTTAATCTCCTAGGAAATAAATTGATATTGAAAACAGTCACTTATTCCCAAAAAGAAAAGAAGACTTCTAATGTGTCAGACACATTTTTCTGTAATACAGAAATGGTTGACAGCGGTGCTATACTTCTCACGAGTTCAAGTAGCACTTTACACTGAGATAAACTTGTCCATCGCCTAGATGGTCTTGTTATGAAATTATCAAAGCGTCTTCTGAGATTATGTTAGATGTCCTACTTAGTAAAACCCTACACTCATCGGTTGTTTTAAAGAAGCAGCACCGTTGAAGAGCAACCAATTGTGAAATGCTATAGCTGAAAAGTGGGAAGTATGGCCAACTCTCTACTATTCAACTAAGGCTGTACCGTTTTGAACGAAAGGGGTTTTTGTTCAACACATTCAAGTGTCTGAATCGATTTTTTTCAGAAAAACAGTGGCGGTAATCTGGTAACCACCATTTATGTTCTCGATTTCAGTCTTCGTCCAACGTGATCGTATGTATTGCTCTGGATCGGTTGTTTTCCGTGTTCTCGGTGACACGACACTCCCCCGAGAAGGCAAATCAACGGATCCGAATCCTACTCGCCGGAGGTACTCTTACCACTACTGTTTACACTTCCAACAATGCTTTTATGACTCGAAAAAAACATCACAGCTTGCTTGAATTTCTTTCTTCAAGGCCTCAAGCCTGATAGAAATGACTCTTCGGAAAATGTGATGTAACCACTAAATAAGCCATTTTCCTCTTTCCTGTTGAAATAGACAGTTTCCTCTAACATTGCATCGTTAAGTATTCGAGAAGTTCTGCGTTGTTATGTAATTATGTAAAAAAACTCATTCGTTACTAAACCCGGATTCTTTTACAAACGTGAATTTCGTGAACCGTTCAGTCCCTTAGAAATTTTTCTAACAGACCACAGTAAGAATTACTAGTTGTGACCAAGCTTTTGTCTTGTACTTAAGTACAGTATGACGTTTAAAACGTTAGTGTTGGTCGTCATGCAAGCACAACTTTAGTTTCAGATGTTAGCTCGAACAGGAATATCACTATTATCGCTTGATTACCATAGCAATCACTGGATACGACAAATGAATCAGCGCTTATTTGAAAACAAAACATTCTATGATTTGAACTTAATAGAACTAAAGTTGATAGGCTTCCCGACGGTTTACCGCATCATCGTGGCTGGGAGGTGTTACTCGTTGCCGGGCTAGCATGTACAGCTGGGAATTCATCTACCCGGCAGGGTCCCCCAAGCTGAGAATGGGTTTGGCGTTCCCATTAGGTAGTCCATATGAGAGTAAACAATACCAGGATCCTATCCACCACTGTCCTCTTAATAAACTAGTCGTATGGTGGCGAACCTCTGATCCACAACAGCGGCGACTGCCTGCGTTGGTGACGACCTGGGGCAGATCTTGGCTAGGCTGACCTCGGGAATTCAGGGTACCACGATAGCTAAGCCATCAAAACTGCGAAAAAAACGGAAATTATGCTAGGACCTGCACAATCAGTGAAGATGGGCCATCCAAATATCCAAGCAAGTAAAGTGAATAACACGCTATTCAGAAATGAATCAGAATCTACCTTAAGATACTGTAATGAAGAAAACTGCAATCCAATTTTTCTTTTCAAAATTCACCCAAATCTGCTGCAGTTCATCTGCTTGGAATTGATATAAATAGGATATGATCTAAACACAGCACTTCCCTGGATCGACTTTCTACATAGGCACTCACTGTTTTCTCGATGCGCAAACACGAGATTGTTATTACAGCATTCATAGTTGCTAACGTTTTGGCAGTTAAGCCTTCTTCAGAGCCGTTTGGCTCTTCATAAATCATTCAATTATTGTTGGATCTAAACATATTCGTCATCTATGCACAATTTTGAGACTGTAATCCAATTAGGGAAGAGCATCGGTCAACTTAATCAACTTAAAATGTTCCTCCTTAGGTTCACGAAACATCAGTAAACTAGAAAATTATTCAGCTAAAGAATACATATGAAGTATTCAGTGTTAATCTATTCCTTAACACTGAGCGAGGCAATTCACTCTTCTCAGCATCGCGGAGGTGGCTCAATGCATATCTGGTCTATACAATAACTTGCGATATCCTGCCCATCTACGTATCAAATCAGTGCCTTTATCCGCCCAAACAAGCCTTGTATCAGTGTGCCCACACCACAGGGTTAAAGGGTGTGGTTTGTCGGGAAAGCAGTATCGAGCTAACGGACCACGTTATAGTTCCCAAGATCGACTTTCTCTTAACCTCGGCATTGGAATATGAATGTGTCGTTTTCTTGCTCAGCAATCGCGAGGTTTTTTTTCGCGAGTCGTCAACCACATGCGACTATAATCAGCTGTTCTAAACTTCCTCATTGGAAGTCACGAAAAAGCGGCTCTGAAGAAGGCGATACTGCCGAAACGTCAGCTAGCGTTGTATTGTATTGTGTTTTTATGGACCACGTTATATTGCAAGGAACCTTAAACCAATGAACACTTCCAGTTATCAAACTGCACACCTGAAATACCTTCCTCAAGAAAGAACATAGTTGATAAGGCGTCTTTTTTTTTCGGAACCAAAAATCTGGAACGGAGCTGTAGGTTGCTTTGCATACTTTAGCTAAGCCGTTGAGATAGAATCGTTCTATAGGTGTGGGATGTTAGTAGTGACGATTTATGCTTTCGAGACTTCAGCTTGGACAACGGCTATTATCATCGCATTGCCACAACTAATCGTCTGGAGGAACTACGTGCCCTTCCAGCACATCAACTGGAGTCAATGCTTACAGGTACAGTAGTATCCCACGTTGTCATTTTGGCGAAATGAAGCGCTAAGTGGCCTTATCCTCACATTGCACAAATAAGCCGCTTATTTCTTGTATTTCTTACGGAACTGCTACGCATTAAAGCAAGTGTAGAATTCTATATCTTCATTCCTTTCTATTAAATTGCTTCATTAATGGAAATTTATTTCAACACTGCCACCATAAATCAAGTAATAAACGCAGTGTTGTAGAGGAAATGACTGGTAATTTATAGGGTGACGTCATTTTATGAATTCCCCCAAAAATTGTATCAGCTGTCACCACTGAGTTAATGAAATCCATGCTGAATAGGAAGAAAAGAAATGTGAGAAAGTTCAGCCGATCGGACATCTGATACGAGTGCACCAGCATGCAGCTGCGAAAGTGTAGTGGCTAGCCAGAAATAAGCTTTGAAAGCCGAAGAAACGCAAGCTAAGGAGCAGAAGGGTGCTGAGGAGCAGAATTTCGGAAATCGCTCCATAGCACCAATTGTTTCTTGGACCACTTGATGGGCATCCCACTGCATACAGAAAAAATTACAACTATAAGAGACATTCGAGATGTTAAAAAGTACTAAATATAGCGAAGAATAACTGATGGACGTTTCTTCACCATCACGAAAAGATTGTATAACTCGCTTCACCTAAAACACTTTGGCGCACATAAATAGCTCAGATTCCTTAAAATCCAGCAAAACCTAAGACGGAATTCCTAAACCCTATCGTTTTGACTGGGTGCCTAAATGATTTGTTTACATCGCGCGCTCCCTATCCAGTGTCGCTTTTCTTTGTTCACTTCTTAAACCGCCACTATAAGTAGGGATGGAGGGTAATCCACTATCAGTAGCTCTGCGCTGTTCAGAAGACCTAACGTGTCCCAACTATGAGCCGCAAGCAAATGTTGCAAGTGTTTGGTTGTCTTCACGATTTCACCGAACGTCCCCCGAATGGTACACACACTTCTCTGTTTGGCTTTCGTAGTGCATGAAACAGCTGGCAAGAATAGAAGGCAAACATCTGGGCGGGATGATTCACTAGTTAACCAATAGCTGCATCTTAGAAGCTCACACCAACTATTTTGAAACCAGACGAACCCAACTCTATTTCATTCAGATCTGGGAAATCACTAGGCACGAAAACCCTGTTATGAAACACGAAGCGTTCAACGCGGAGGCATGGTACTCGATTGTTCATATTGGCCTGATTTTCTGGATTCCCACGATAATCATTGTGGTTAGTTTTCAGTTTTCGATCTGTCAAAGTGAAAAAAGAACTTCTAGAGAAATGTCACAGGTATAAATGCAAACAAACCACGAAGGAGAGAAGATAAAATGAAAAAAGAAACTGGATAGATAGTGGATGAATAGAGGCTAAGACAAAGAAACAATTTGTAAGCTATAGTAAATGACATGGTGGGCGCGTGTGGTGCGGTGGTTGGAAGCGCCCTGCGACACACGTGGAATCGATCCCCACGCCCATGGCTCACCAAGCCTTCCATCCCTCCGGGGTCAGCAAACTGGTACAAGACTTGTCTCGAAGGGTACCAGCACTGGCTCGATACATCGGTAGACTACCTCGAGTAAAGGCCAGATATGCATTCGAACACCATCAAACGATGCTTAATGAAGTCGAATGCATGGCGCATCCCTCAAAGATTGACCAACGCCGAGAGCTTTATCCTTTTTTATACTAAATGAACAACATCTTACTCTGACTATCAAATTACCTATGAGACTGAAAATTTCTGAGCATCGAAAAGGAAACCTACTGATTCAGATGTGTTATGTGATGGTGCTCTCATGGGTGTTCATCAACTCCAGACCTTCGATCTCCCGAGGTGGCAACAGAACTGGATCGCTCCAAACCGGTTGTGAGACGGTCGATACCATAATTACAAGAACATCTGGTAAGAGCTCTTGGTCTCAAAACTTGTAATAGCCAAAAGAGTAAAACTCAAAACAACGTGACTACATCGATTTAAGGTTCAGAAACAATCGCTAGTAGTTAAAATCCGCAAGAAATGGGGGAGAAACGACTTTCATAGCATTTTTTGAGGCAATGTGGCTACCTGGTAAACTCGAACAAGTATCCTATCAGATTTCGTCATTCAAATATTTTATCTAACAAACGGCTACTCTTAGATAGGTTCATAGCAAAGATCCTTGTTCCATTAATTATAAACGCTAAAAAATAGACGTATATTCTCAAATATCCTACGGAAATTTTCTGCTAATGGCTCTAACATATAGTACTTACCAGCTGATGATTTGCCTCGTTTGAAAAAGTGATATGTCAGATAATTCACTGAGGCGAGTGTAGCGCAGTGGTAGGAGACGCCCTGCAATACACATGGGACCGATCGCCGCTCCCCAAGCCCACCAAGCCCACCATCCTTTCGTGGTCGTCAAATTGCTACCAGACTTGTCTGAAAGGATGACACCACTGGCTCGATACATCGGTAGGCCACTGCGAATCATTATAAAGGCAGATGTGCATTCAATCACCTCCGACAATGTTTAATGAAGTCGAATGCATGACGCACCTCCCAGAGATTGGTCAACGCTGAGAACTTCTTTTTATGTCAGACATACTTTTCTATGGGCCTAATATCAGAGGGTTAATTTTACTCATTCAAACCAACACTACTAACTCATAATAACTCGTTGGCTGTAGATAATCTTAGTGTGAACATTTGTCTTTTCCGAATGGAATCCATTGAAAACGTTCCCACTCAGGAAGACGAAGAATATGAAAGAAGACAGAAACCTTGGTACACATTTTTTGCCTTGATCATTTCCTTCTCCTTAACTTTTTCCATAATCTGTCGAATCTGCAGCACCTCCACGTATAGTGGTTTCGGACGAGTCAACTTTACATCTGACAACTCGTCCATCAATTGTGTCCAGCGAAGGAAGTGCCATCGTCAGGACTAGTGTGCACAATAGCCAGTCTTACCATGCCAGTGTAAACAGGTGTGTTTGCTTCCATCGTTTTTCTTAAGAAACTGCTTCCTCGGGAACAAAAAGGGGAAGATACAATAGTAATGAGCTAGTTTTCATAGATCTAAATACTCAGTACGCAGGACATGTCGTCTTCCCGAGATGCATTGTCCTTCGTTACAGATAGTAAAACTCATGTTCTTCCTCTGTGCGTGTATTTACGCCTTCTCTAGTTGTCTTCTCACAGAATTGTTGAACTACAACTGAACCCTACTCTTTGAATATTTGTAGAAAAAAAAGCTACATAGAAAGGAAAGAGACAGACCACCGCATATTTACTTGTTTTATATGACACGGCTGAGAGGAAGGCGAAATGAAGAACTCGTATGATGTGGTGGTGAACGCGTTAGCTCCGGGAAGGGCAATAGCGTGTTCGATCCCCACCGCAGACACCGGAGTTTTGCAGAAATCTCAGTATCATTATGCCTACTTGTTTTAGTTTGATGAAAAGCTGACTCAAGCTCCAATCAGTGGTTTGCTTCCACACCACCCTATTGGAGCACGTTTTAGGGTCTTGGGATGTGCAAAAAGGGCTCATCCTCCACATATTTCCCAAGCACGATAAGGAATCCTAGATCTGTATACCGAATTTTACGCAAAAGTAGACCAAAGAACGGAATCACTGTCACAGAAGCATCGACGTCATTACTACCCTACAAATGGTGAACACACGAAAACCCCTCAGAATGGGCGTTGATACCTCATACACATTATTTCCCGAAGCTTAAATTAACAGCCAAATGAATATTCCTCAAAGGTTCCCACGAATTGGAGTGCTCAAAAAAACAAGCAGCACTTACCAAGATAAAATTACCGCACCTTAACCACAGACAGCAACCCCTCATCGATTCGAGTGGGCCATGTGACCCCAAGTACTATAGTGGTCTTCCGAGTGCTATATGATGGAATGGAGTCTAGTTAAACACCATACGAATGGGACCTAAACCTCTTTCCCTAGTCAACATTGTCCCACACTCTCAGATCCATACTTCATTCTTTAGGATGCACACATTGAGATTTGGACACTGAGAAAACAAACGAACAGAGATCGCATACAATGCATTACCAAGAATGACTCTGAGATGTTCTCAATAAACATGAAATTAAGACAAGTACTAAAACAACCCAAAAGTGATGAGCGTTACAAAAGTTCGAGAACAGCGAAATTTTAGGTCGCGCGCTGTGCGGGTCTCATTTTTGTTGGTTGCTGCATATATTATCTGCTGGCTTCCATACAATTTACTCAGTCTCGTACATATAATTGACAAGCAGCTCTTCAAAAACAGCTTTAACAAGGTTCGTCTTGTTTCTAACATTCACGATTTGCACCAAAAGAGAACTGCTTCCTTCCAGAAATCGTTCATTTCAGTTTTACTTTCTGCACGAGTTCATGGTGTTCAACTCAGTCGTCAATCCATATCTCTACGGTCTCTTCAACCACTCTGACAAGATACGAAGAAGAGTTCACGAGTAGCCCTCACCGGCAATATCCACACCTAACACGGGTTTACCATTCTGATCTCCAATAAACTATTGTCAGAAACTTCATTCGCACATGTATAAACATTGTCACGATGCCCTAGATACACTGAACAACACGGACACTTAGCACTAAAACTATGCATTTCGCTAAGAATTGCAGCGCCGTTATGGTGGCTGCAAAGATCCATACGATAAATATCAAAAAGACAATAACAAACATGGTGAAGCAAATAAATTACGACATGTGAACAAATCAGAAGAACATGGCAGCCATACCTCCCATCTCCTGCTGTTCTTTGACAAAGATCTCGAAATATTGATAAATAATGGTAACGGCGAGGAGGATACCAGTGCCACTTCCTATTGCACCCATGAAATCTGCTGTAACTGAAAGCGCCCCAATACAGAGTCCTCCGAAAGCGGCCGCTGTAGGGATGTAACGGTTTAACTCGTGAATCATTGACTTCTCTCGGTGACCACGCATCACCATCTGCTGCTCTTTTAGCTGTTTCGCAACGTCCTTAGCAGACGATCCAGACACGTCGATCCATGTCTTTGAGAAAAACGCGCACGATCCCAACATAAACACTACATAGACAATGCAGTGAATCGGATCTTCAACGATATGAGAGAGTGTGTCAGGTGGCGAGAGATAGTAGCAAATACCTTAATTGGAAAAAATCATTGCAACTCACAAAAACTTTAACAACCCCGAAAAGCTTGCTAAAAAGCACCTCCAGTTGGGTAGCTACGATAGCTTCCAGACGCGTCGGACCAGGTTCCAAGGAGATTCACAAGGAAGTTTCCTCCGAACTTTGCAGCAAGCATCTAAATTATTTTCATTCATAAAGACCTTTTCATAAAGAAACATACGGAATAGCGGTACACACACCTGTGAGATGACGTAAAGGTTAGAAACGAGTGCTGACTGAAGAATAATAGGAATGTTTGATGTGTAAAACAGCTTAATCGGATAGCTGCTATACTGTCCACGATACCGAGCCGACTTGATGGGAAGGTCTACGCGGAAGCCCTTAAGCATGCATAGGTATGGAAAACCTAATACTTGACATAATGCATAGTTACCTGGAAGTATATGACGACGCCAAACACAACAAAGGTGGCCATAAGATTCATAAGATTTGGCAAATTGTTACGATAAAACGCTTCACGAAGAGCTCTAACCTGCAATTAAGTGGTGAAAATAAACACAATGATAACATAAGGACATCCTAAAGCCATACAACTAAAAGACCTTATCTGTACGAGTGGCGAGAAGATGGAAAAGGGCAATGACAGCGCCCTCGAATTCAGTGCCTCGCCCGGTATTCATGGTTGCTGGTGAGAACGCTTTCCACACAATCGTCTCACAAATGTTTGTAGCGATAAAAAGTGAAATACCAGATCCGAGTCCATAGCCCTTCTGTAAAATAATACCACTCGGCAAATAAATACAAAACGACAAGTAACTCGAAAAATCTAACTACAATGGTGCTGATATATTTGCAAAACTTCGGACCACAGGTGCTGCGATGGGGATTGAACACGGTATCACCCTTTCCTGGGACTAACGCGTTCAGTACCATATCGTTCAGATCCTTCGTTTCGCCTTTCTATCAGCCGTGTTTTATAGATGCTAACTCGACTCGAGAAAGTTGAGAACGGCAATGACACATAGTTATCCACCCGACAAACAAAGAATAACTCTTGGGAATCTAATTATCATAAATATAAGCGATTCGCTAATAGATTTTTTGAAATCGAATTCCATTTTCACAGCATTGTTAAGGCATACAGTTTTAAGAGATGTGAAAGGTGAAATAGAAAGGTCAGTGTCCAAAACAGCTATATATATATATATATATATATATATATATATATAGCTGTTTTGGACACTGACCTTTCTATTTCACCTTTCACATCTCTTAAAACTGTATGNCATACAGTTTTAAGAGATGTGAAAGGTGAAATAGAAAGGTCAGTGTCCAAAACAGCTATATATATATATATATATATATATATATATTACCGACCCTAGAGGGATGGAGGGCTTGGTTGGAGCGCAGGGATTGACCCTATGTGTATAGCAAGGCGCCACCGACCATTGCCTTACGCGCGTTCCAACGGATAAACACGACTAGAAACATAAAAACAATAAGTCGTTAAGAGTACTATATTTTGGCCAAAACTTGGATTACAGAACTTTTGTGACCACAGATCGCATTTCCCAAACAAGATTTTGTAAGATATACATGAAGTTCATAGTGAAAAATCATAATCTTCTAATAAAACATGCCTGTAGCAACTCATCCAGAAGCAGTACGATGAGACCAGCAATGACGAGCTGCACGACAATAAGGAGGCAGATGCCGGCGCCGATCTCAGATGGATCGCCATACAAACCAGACATGACGTAGACGATGGCCTGTCCAACGGTGATCACCATGCCAAATACTAAAATGATTGCAAGAAACCGAGTGAACGCACGAAAACATCCCACATACAGAATTCCAGGAGATTTGCTTACACTTCTGTGCTCCATTGAAAAGCGCTCTATCCTTAGGCGTATCACCGACTTCAATAATCTTAGCTCCAGCGAGAAGCTGCATTATCAAACCAGATGTGACTATAGGTGAGATTCCCAGTTCCATCAATGTGCCCCGATTGGAAGCCAAAATTACGCGAAGCCAATAGAAAGGGTCAGCGGAATCAGTGGACATAATCCCTGCAACAAGACTGTCAGGATATCGCAATAACTCCCAAGTCCGACTTTCTATTAACCTCGGCATTGATTGAATATATCTTTCTACTTCTGTTCAGCAAGCACGAGGTGCTATTTTATTTCTTTATTTACGCACAAGCTGACATTTCGGCGGATTTCGCCTTTCTCAGAGCCTGGGAAGGCCATGTTGACAACAACCTATTCGACCAAACACCTTCATAACCAAAAAGAGAAAACGCTAAACCAAGATTTCATTCACATTTAGCATGGCTCTGCACACTCACCGCTTTCTATGAGTCCTCCACTGAGTATGTCGCGTGAAGATTTTGAAGTAAGGGTTACGATCCTCGCGCAAGAATCGAGAACACAAGCGCGCAAAAACTCTAGAGGCATTCTGGATAAATTCCAAGAATCCGAAATGAACCGCAGGGAGGAATGCCTCGTTATCACGCGTGATATTGGACAGTATATAAACCTGTTATTCTGATGAGAGAGGTGCATTACGCTTCCATGTGAATTCTGTGCGGTTGGTCTTCACACGGCATACTCAGTGGAAGACTCATAGAAAGCGGTGAGTGTGCAGAGCCATGCTAAATGTGATTGAAATCTTGGTTTAGCGTTTTCTCTGTTTGGTTATGGAGGTGTTTGGCCGAGTGGATTGCTGTCAACTTGACCCTTCCAGGCTCTGAGGAAGGCGAAATCCGCCGAAACGTCAGCTTGTGCGTAAATAAAGAAATAAAATAGCACCTCGTGCTTGCTGAACAGAAGTAGAAAGATATATCGCAATAAGTTTCGAAAATTAAAGTAGTGAATGTAACCAATGAAGCTGCACAAACCGAACAACGGAATTTGACAACAGACAAGAAATACGAAGAGAGTGATAGCGGTCCACAACATCTTCTCCCGAAACTGGATCTTCCTCTCCGGCTTCGACACCTCCGGCACGAAGCCGCAGAACGGCTTCACAAATTCGAGGAATTTTACTAAAACAAAGCATCGAACAATCAAAAAAATCATAACGATGATGAGATATCTGCAAAACTCCGGATGACAGGTGCCTGCGGTGGGATCGAACACGCCACTACCCTTTCCGGGGGCATTTCCTCCACACCATGCGCGTTCATCGTTTCAAAATTTTTCAGTTGTTCAAAAGGCAACAAAACTTCAGAAAAAACAAACTGTAATAGACTCACTTCCCATTCTTCGACAGTTGACCGGCGATTCTCTATGATGCTAGAGGGCCACAAGAGCTGACAAGTCTCCCTGACCACCAACTACCGGATACGTCAACTCCTGTGCGTCCTCAGCAAGACGCAAGCCGACAGCACTACCGTACACCAACTACACAGCAACGCCTTTCAACTGCAATTTGGCATTCAGCACAACCTCGACACGTACGATCATACATCATTCATGGATTTCGAATGCCTTTCCATGAAAACAAGCAGCATCACCACAGACTCACTAGTTTGACTCGCTACGTTGAGAAAAAGAATCAAGAAAACTTTAAAGGATCGCCGAACTGCAAGGTCAAGCTTGAAATTTAAAGGTCTACCACAGCTACATGCGAAGTGGTCCTAAAACGAATACTACCATATGCGGATCGTTCTGGTCTTCTATGTTTCCCATTGCAAATTTCGTGTGGTGGATCCGTCTTTTTTCCGTTTGACTGTACATTAAGTTCGGTCTTTTCCTTAATCATGTGTACCGCATTCCATTGAGTGCGCGTGTGGCGCAGTGGTCGGAGGCGCCCTACAACGGAAACCTGGGATCGATTTCTGCGCCGCCGGCCCACCAAGCCCTTCATCCCTTCGGGATTGGTATGAGACTTGTCTGCGAGGATAGAAGCAGAGGCTCCATACATCCGTTGGCCACTGCTAGTCATTATAAAGGTCGGATATGCAACCAGTAACCTCCAACGATGCTTAGTGAAGTCGAATGAAAGGCGCATCCCTGTGGGATTGATGCAAACCAAAAGCTTTATCCTTTCTTCATTTTGCCGCGTTCCATTCTGGATAGGTCTCCTAATATTTGTATGGGTTTGTATTTGAGTTTTATGGCGTTTTTAGTTCTTTCGCTTTCGTTCTATTGGTTAAAGTGATACGACTCCTTATTTTGACATTTAGTTATTATAGGCTCATCAGCATGTCGCTGATCATTCCGGAGAAATTTCAACACATTCATCGTGTTATGAACACAAACATTGACGGTAATCGTAAAGTTCCTTACGCTCTCACTGCTATCAAGGTGGTTCGAGTTTTAGAGTTTTGTTTAGCTACTCGAAACATAGTGGAAATAACCCTTTGCACTTCGTTTCAGGGTGTTGGTCGTCGTTTTGCGTTTGTGTGCTGTCGCAAGGCAGATATCGATGTGTCCAAACGTGCCGGAGAGCTGTCCGAGGATGATTTTGAGAAGATTGTCACAATTATGCAGAACCCATCCCAGTACAAAATTCCGAACTGGTTCCTGAATAGACAGAAGGACATTAAGGACGGGAAATATTCTCAGGTGCTGTAGTTCATGGTATTCGATGATCTTTTTCATTTAGTAGTCCTTATTTTTTACGTCGCCAGCCTCTTTCCTCTTTGCTTTTCTAAGCTTTGAGAGTCACTTCTGATGTAAATTGATCTCTCGAGTTTTATCCGAAAAATTCAGCTAGAATGCTCGGTTCCAATCGAGGAACATGTTACCATGGATTGTTTTTGGGTTGAGGGGCTAGATTAAGAGTTGCCTTTGAATTTGGCAATGGTCTAGGTTAAACATATGATACACAGGTTATCGTACTTTGAAGTTTCGATACCTACGATAAATGAGGATCAGAGGTCTTGAGAAACCCCTGTAAAGAGATTTTAATCTCTTCACTTTTATTTTATCTAGATTTAATATTACAATGGAGTTTTGACATTTGTGTACAAGCGCGGAAACCTGGGACTTTGTTGATTTAATGGAAGGGAGAATGGGCAAAATACCGTCCGTATAGTGGTTATGATTTCTGGAGACTATTAGAACTCTGGTAACTAAAACTATTTTATCGGGTTTATGAACTTTTGGTATGGAAGTGCGCTTTGTGCAGATGAGATGATTCGTAGTGGTTTGCGTAAGGGTGATAGTGATGACTACTAACTTCAAGTGAAAATGTCTCGGTTGGTACTTACTAACTTGGATACTCGGATGGCCCATCTTCATTAGTTGTGCGAGCCCTTACATAGTTTCCGCTTTATCGGAGTTTTGCTGGTTTGGCCATCGTGGTTCCCTGGAGTTCAGAGGTTACCTGGGCCAAAGTATGCTCCGGATCCTCACCAAAACAGGCATTCGCCGACCGTGTGAATCACAGAGAGATTTTACATCATGCGACTAGTCTGATACTGGGATGGTAGGAGATCCTGGTATTGCAGCCCGACACCCAGGAACCTCATAGCCATGATGAGGGGTGAACTGTTGGAAGGGTTTAGGTTGATACTGGTTTTTATTTTTGGAATCGAAACCATTGGTATCTACATTTTTTTTCTCATCATGTTACAAATCCTATTATTCTGTCATCGTTAAATTCTGATTCTCTGATACTCACTGGTTTTTTTCTTCATTGCTGCTTGTATTTTGGAAACAAGCAACTGAACAAGATCGATTTCATCGAGCAGGATGCGGTGTTGTTCTCCAATGCAGCGTTTGCTCTTACGGCTGCCACGGTTGTGTGGGAAATTTAACTTGCCTGGATATTTGATTGGCCATCGTCAAGAAAACTACGGGTCTCAGTACACCTTCTATTCATTTTCTTTTTTGTCGTTCAGTAGTCATCAATGGTGGTGGTGTGCTGCGAACATGGCAACGTCTCCCGGACACATTCTTTGGTTCGGGATCCGTTTCCTGCGAGCTACATGCACATTTGAGGAAATCTCTAAAAATTTAATCTTTGCATTTTCTTTTTTGGGAATTGATTCAGAATGGATTGAGATTCATTTTGAGAAAGTTTCTACGAATTTGACCTTGTAAAAACACTGCGAAAAGTTTTTCATAACATCAGGTTGAGAACGTGAAGTATCTCCTCTTAAGTGCGTGAAACTTTTCGGTTCTGGAATGTTCTAGTTATCAAAATTTCGTCGAAAATTCCGGAAGGAGCTACTCCATAGTAAAAGGATTTAGATATTCAGATTCCTCATTTACAGCCGGAGTAGTACAGAAATGGCTTTTTTTTTGTCGATGACGTTTCATATATATCTCATACGTAAAATTTTCCTAATCATTATTATGGGAACTGTATTGCAAGATTTAAAGGGTGCTTTGTAGTTTAAGTTGCTCAATGAAGCCACTAAGCCCGTTTGCTGTCGTTTCGTGATGTACATTTTTTGAAAACGATCGTTGTTTCAAAAAATTCGGGCTTTAGCGTTGTGGCATTTACATTATTATTTCAGATCCTACCAAAACCGTTTATACTATCTTCAACTGTTTGGCGTTAATATGAATAGTAAATGATTGAATGAAAGTACACAAAGGATTAAAAAGAATGTAATGGAAAATAGGCGTGAGTAGAAAATATGTGGAATACGAAATGAATGCAGAAAGTACATGAAGATAAGTAGTTTTAGTAGGATTTGTCACTTTTGTCAGATGTAAAACTCCAAGCTTATTTTGCTGCAAGTAGAGTTGGGTAAGGATGGTTTAAGGCTGATTAAAATGAAATGGAGGATCCACTTCGAAGTAATCTTTTGGGTTCCATGCGACTTTTCAATTTTGCTTTGGAACCTTTTTTCGGTGATTATTAGTCATATGTATAGTTTAATGTTCGATGTTTCCGTGAGTACTAGTATACATTACGCACTGGAAATAAAATTCAGTAGCCTTCAAATTGGTTAGGTTTTAGCAGATTTTGTTTTCAAACTATCGTTTCATTCCGTATTTTGTTTCCAGCTTCTATCTACTGGTGTGGATAACAAGCTTCGTGAAGATCTCGAACGTTTGAAGAAGATCAGGCTGCACAGAGGTCTTCGTCATTTTTGGGGACTTCGAGTGAGAGGTCAACACACTAAAACCACCGGGCGTAAGGGACGCACCGTCGGTGTCTCAAAGAAGAAAGGAGGTTAAGCAGTCAATGGTTATAGTGTTGTTTTGCAACATTTTATAAATCGTTACGAACTATTTATTGAAGCTATCTTGAGCCACTTTTTTGTATTCTTAATTTGGTTCGCAGTCCAAGCACACTTGGTTGAAGAAGTGTGCATTAACAATGGAGAGATGTAGAAATACGAAGGTAGCAGAGCTACGGAAATACAGATTCGGCGTCGAATTATTGTTAGGAATTAACTCACATTGTTATTAGATTGTAAACAAACATTCACAAAACTCAAACCTAATTCTTAACTTCACACATGAACAACTATTCCCATGCACCGCAATTTGAACTCCCATGTGGATATTGCAGTAGTCATCGCAGGTGACGTCTGCGAAACATTTAGATTTGTCGGTTATCGCTTCACGGTTTTTCGATCGTGCAAACACTTTAGATTTGAGGTCCTGGTTGCTTTAGACGTACATGGTTTACCAAGCTCAGGAAACGCCTACAAGGGGTTGGTTGCTACTGCTCAAGGATTGGCGATGACTATTAATGTCATAATCGTATAACCATCAAATATTATAGGAACAAATTATTTGTTTTGCTTTATTTAATCCGTCTTCACGTCTACTGTGTGGATCCCAGGGCTCCTCATATACAATTCATTTCGTCGCATCCATTGTCCACGAATATCTGACAACTTTGCGTGTGGCTTCGGTTGCTGCTTGGAGATTTTCATTTCGTCTTGAATGTCGTAGAATGCTGGTCGAGCAATTCACCCTGGAGTCCTTAGATAGCCGCGCTGGAGCGTTCTCAATTGGATTTCAGAGTGATTTTTTCCCAGACAAGTCCAGTACCAATATCCCGACTCCGGAGGGAGGAGAGACTTCGTTGGCCCGGAGCGGAATCGAACTAGAACCCATGCTCGTGATGACGGACATCACTACCATTGTGCTATCTCCCCGTATAGGAACAAATTCGTTTGTTGAAATACTTGAACTAGATTCTTCTACAAAATAATGACTCTCACGAAATAAATAGTATCAGTGTCCGTGAATTCTTGCTTCTCCATTCACACAGAAATTTATAGTATTGGAGGTGAGCACGTATTCACTCTAGTAGCTTCCACGTGCACTACCAATGAATAAAGTGAAACGAAATTTTAGTGGGAAGGCACTAAAATAATTGCTGTGCTGTAGTTCTTAATATTCTTTTGATCTTTTGCTCTGATCTTTCGCATCCAGTAGTCTTTCTTATTTCTTACGTCGTCAGCCTTTTTCCTCGTTGCTTTTCTAAGCTTTGAGGGTCACTTCTGACGTAAATTGATCTCTCGAGTTTTATCCGAAAAATTCAGCTAGAATGCTCGGTTCCAATCGAGGAACATGTTACCATGGATCGTTTTTGGGTTGAGGGGCTAGATTAAGAGTTGCCTTTGAATTTGGCAATGATCTAGGTTAAACATATGATACACAGGTTATCGTACTTTGAAGTTTCGATACCTACGATAAATGAGGATCAGAGGTCTTGAGAAACCCCTGTAAAGAGATTTTAACCTCTTCACTTTTATTCTATTTAGATTTAATATTACAATGGAGTTTTGACATTTGTGTACAAGCGCGCAAACCTGGGACTTTGTTGATTTAATGGAAGGGAGAATGGGCAAAATACCGTCCGTATAGTGGTTATGATTTCTGGACTCTGGTAACTAAGATATTTTATCGGGATTATGAACTATTGGTAAGTGAAAATGTCTCGGTTGGTACTTACCAAATTGGGTGCTTGCATGGCCGGTCTTCACTAGTCGTGTGGATCATAGCATAATTTCCACGATTTGGGAGTTTTGCTGGTTCAGCCATTGAGGTTACCTGGAGTCACGAGGTCAGGCAGACGAAACTGCGCCAAGTCGTCACCACCACGGAATTTCTCTTATTTTGTCATCATTAGATTCTGACTCTCTGATGCTCGCAGGAGGTTTTCTTTCTTCATTGCTGCTTGTATTTTGGAAACAAGCAACTGAACAAGTTCGATTTCATCCAGCAGGAGGCGGTGGTGCTCTTCAGTGCAGCATATGCTCTTGTGGCTGCCACGGTTGTATGGGAAATTTTACTTGCTAACAAAGGCATCTCAAAATTAATTGACAATATTTGTTTAACTCGTATGAAGTGCTGAGATATTTGCAAAACTCCGGACCCCAGGTGTATGCAGTGGAGAACGAACACGCGCTCTTGTCCTTACCGGGGAGCAGCGCACTTCACCACTAAACCATCCGTGTCCTTCGCTTTGCATGTATCTCAGCTAGTTCTATCGATCTTTTTGCCATCAGCAATCACCCGTCAACGGGATTGATCTGGGGAGCCAGTATCGGCATTGAACCCAGTTAAGCTGAGGCCTCGTTATAATCAGCACTTCATACGAGTTATATTTCACAACATACCCTGCCATTAAGAAGAAAAAGGCAGTAAATAAAAGAGTTAAGATTGTGATTATAACGAGGCCTCAGCTTAACTGGGTTCAATGCCGATATTGGCTCCCCAGATCAATCCCGTTGACGGGTGATTGCTGATGGCAAAAAGATCGATAGAACTAGCTGAGATACATGCAAAGCGAAGGACCCGGGTGGTGTAGTGGTGAAGTGCGCTGCTCCCCGGTAAGGACAACAGCGCGTGTTCGTTCCCCACTGCATACACCTGTGGTCCGGAGTTTTGCAAATATCTCAGCGCTTCATACGAGTTATATTTCACAACATACCCTGCCATTAAGAAGAAAAAGGCAGTAAATAAAAGAGTTAATATTTGTTTATTTATTTATTTATATGGTCCGTCTTCACGTCTAATGTGTGGATCCCAGCACTTCTTACATTCAATTCGTTTCCTCGCATCCATTGTCCACAAGGGTCCCAACTTTTACATATGGCTTCGGTTGGTGCTTGAGCATTTTCACTTCATTTTGTATGTCGTACAATGCTGGTCGAGCAATTCTCCCTGGAGTCCTGAGATAGTCAGGCTAGAGCATTCCCAATTGAATTGCAGAGAGCGATTTTTTCCCTAGAGACAAGGTTGGGACCAATTTCCCGACTCCAGAGGGATGAGAAGCTTGGTTGGTCCAGAGCGGAATGGAACTAGCACCTTGTTCGTGATGACGGGCATTACTACCACCAGACTATCCGCCTCTTCTATTGGAACAAGTTTACTTATTGAAATACTTGAACTGGATTCTTCTGGAAAATAATGACTCTCACGAAGCAAATAGTATCAGTGTCTGTGAATCCTTAGTTCTCCACCTGGCCACTTAGAAATTTGTGATATTGGAGGTGAACACATATTCGTTCACACTAGTGGCTTCCACGAGAGCTACCAATGAATAAAGTGAAACGAAGTTTTCATGGGAAGCTTGCTATCGGCTTGTTGGGGTTAGTGAGTGTCGTACTACGAGCTCTTGACGGCGATGTGACTATCTGGTCCAGTTTCACATGCTGACCACATTTGAAAATCGCCCTAAATTGCAAATCCGCACTATGCATAGAAGTGATCTCATACCCTATCTGACAATTTTTGGACTTGAGTAGGAAACTCCTCGTATTCATATATTTTTCGACTATGCTCCATGCTTTTGTCGGTTTTTGTTGACCTTAGGAAGTCACATAAGGAAAAACCCTTTCTTAGTCATACATTAACAGAAGTGGTGTCGAGCATTTGTTGCCTGCCTTCTTATCGTTAGAGTTCTCGACAGAAACCATCGAGAAGCTCCACACGGTGCGAAATCCATAAGAATCGTAGAATTGGTCGAATGCGTACCTTGCATATACAATGATTTACAACGGCATGTGTCATGCCAGAGTTTGTATACTCCCAGACGTACGCTACCTCGGAGGTGTGAAGGGGTTGCTTAACCCGTAGTCGAACTCTGGAACTAGGTGTCTATTACGAAGCACCTCTAATCACTATGTTACACGCGCTCATTAAAATAGGTAGATATTGTATGCAAATTGGCCATCAAATGAACAGCAAAGTTTTGGAGGACTCATTATAACAAGGAAGCTTATACTTAAACGTCTTTCTCATATACTTCCATTCTGTCATCATTCCACTCCACTCATTGCTGAGACAGAAATGTCGCTCGGTTGGATGTTGTCGTTAAGTGAGTATAAAATTGAATGGAATATTTAAAGAAAATCTCCCAATGATTTACCATCTCATCGTGGCTAGAAGGTGTTCATGGGTGTCGGTCGGGCTCCGATGGACAGCGGGATGATTCATTCTGCTCAAGGTCTTCCAAACTGGGAAGGAGTCCAGCGTTTCCATTAGGAAACTCAGCTATGAGTAAACCAATACCAGAATCCACCACCGTCATGGTATTAAAGTCGCATGGTGGCAAATCTCTCTCTGGCGCACAAGGACTGCGACTGCCTGTGGTGATGAAGAGTTGGAGCAAGCTTTGGCCAGGCTGACTTCTGGATTCCAGGCTACTACAATAGCTTTACCAGAAAATCTCCGAAAAGTGGAGATTATGCTGGGGTCCGCACAACCAGTGAGGAAGGACCGTTCAAGTATCATGTATTTAAAGAAAATCTAGAAAGAGTGACTTTTAAGCGTCCAATTCGAATCGTTAGTTGTTCGAAAAAGTCAGAGCTCAACCAGTACTCTGTTGGCTTGCAGATGAAAGGTAGTACATTGATTATTCAAGTCGAGGTTAAATGAAAGTCGGTTCCTGAGAATTACGCACAGGATCATCGATTCTGTTGCTTAAACCTTGCCTTTTACCTTTTCGGGGTCGAAGAACAGATTTTTTTGGGAGGATAAAGACGTTGACGTGACATATTGGTAAGATCCAACAAGTCCTTGCATAGCCAAAATGAGTAACCACGTGTAGATTACGAGATGTTGCCTCAGTAAGCATGGAGTATATTGGTTGAAGGCCGTTCCGTAACGTCTTTCATAAAGTTCTCAGTAACTTCATTCGCAGGTTTTCACCGAGTTAGCGTGCAGGGGGCAATCTGCACATTTGCATGAATATTGCATATATATATATATAT